CAACTGGCTAGTCAAACCTTACACAGAAAATCAAACCGAAGTTTTCTTTGAGAAAAAATCATCAGGACTTAATGACACTTTCTCCAGCTATTGGTCAGAATCCAACAATTACAAGCTTATCATTTACGCTAGTAAATTTTGAACTGTATGCAAAAACTACTTTGAAATCACTGATTCAAACAGGATAAGCATACTTTGGAAAGTGTTTAACTCTCTCAATTAGGAAGGCGAATACGTTTATCTTAATACTCGGAAGACGAAATGTGATGTTACTTTTAACCAAAACTGAGGTACGATGCTCTCCCTGGTTAATGTAACGCCATGAATTATTTGATATTCACGTCCAAGGGAGGACAAACAAGGGATTTTGATGACCTCTTGGCAAGGTGGGGGGACTTAGGCCCTCCGTCGCTACGGGAAGGTATGCGATACTGCTATATTTAAATTGTCAACTATTTATTTTCTCTTTTGGGAATATCCGAATATTCGCTACAGATGTAGAGATACTCCTTAATGGTGAAAATCGATTTCAATAACAACTAGTGAAAAGCACTCACTAACCTCACTGATGGTGTACCAATTATACCACGAGAAGCTGCCAGTTCTCACATACCTGCAATGTATACAAATACTTATTAATACACGAATCTTATCCTCAGTTATACCCTTCAGTCAGCACCTGGAAATATCCCAATTATACCCTTCAGTCAGCACCTGCAAGCATACCCAGTTTTGCCCTTCGGTCAGTATCTTCTGCACATGTCTCCACTAATATTTAGAAGCCTGCAACTACGAGTATCCTTAACATATAAAATAGAACCTGAGATTTATTAAACAACTATTAGCTTATGCCACATAAATAATTCTCACGGTACACTGGAAACAAGATTATCATCTTTCCATAGTTAATGTCTAAAATGAAACTCACCTTCCCATGATGGTAGATGTGCGGATGACTAGCAAGCCAGGTGGTGCTGGGACCCAGGTGGTGTTGGGCCCCAGCTTGTGATGAACCCAGGTGTTGGGCCCCAGGTTGTGCCGGACCCCAGGTGGTGTTGGGCCCCAGGTTGTGCCAAACCCCAGATGGTGCCGTTACCAACACCTATAAGTTCATTTGTTACCGGCTCACATAATACCAAAACATTTATTAAGACTTATAATACATATATTTACATTCATGGTCATGCAGATAATGGGGTAATGTGAGACGATTAGCTTTAATCCAAGGGATGATAGGTTCAATTCTATCAAGAGTCCCTCACCGGCATCTTAGCACTTCTCTTGATGGAAGAGGCACTTATAATAACTTTTTACAGGCACTTATTAACACTTCTCATAAGAACACTTCACTCCAAAACTTATGAAGAAGTCGTGACAGCACTCACCCCTCCTCGAACACACATACTCGCCTCAACACCATCAACACACCCATAAATAGCCTTAAAAGTCAAGGCAATATACACCGAGATGCTTATAAACTGTTTATACACTTAATTTTATTCAGTATTTAAGGAGTTAAATTATCCTTGTATCCTTAGTTTGTCACTGGTTTACTAGGTCTAAAACCTATCAGTTATCACCACAGGTTAAAAATGTTTTAATGAGCTAAATGGGAATTAAAGCAAGCTCTCGGAGTATATAGAAATGCACACCTCTTAGTGGGTATACACAAGAGATACGCACACACGCACACCTAGGTGGATATACACAGATACACATCTCAGTATATATAACAATACTTGTTGATAAAGAATAGTGATACCTGAGGCTCCCCTCCACTCTGAAGACACACGCGTGTAAAGTGATGCTTCGAAGCATCAAAGCTGTTTATGAACCACTCTACTCGGGGAAGCTGTTCATGAACCACTCAACTCGATGAAGCTGTTCATGAACCACTCAACTCAGTGAAGCTGTTCATGAACCACTCTACTCGGGGAAGCTGTTCATGAACCACTCAACTCGGTGAAGCTGTTCATGAACCACTCAACTCGGTGAAGCTGTTCATGAACCACTCAACTCGGTGAAGCTTTTCATGAACCACTCTATACGAGGAAGAAGCTGTTCATGAACCATTCTACTCGATGAAGGTGTTCATAAATCATTCTACTCGATGAAGCTGTTCATGAACCACTCAACTCGGTGAAGCTTTTCATGAACCACTCTATACGAGGAAGAAGCTGTTCATGAACCATTCTACTCGATGAAGGTGTTCATAAATCATTCTACTCGGGGAAGCTGTTCATGAACCACTCTACTCGGTGAAGCTGTTTATGAACCACTCTACTCGGTGAAGCTGTTCATGAACCACTGTACTCGGTGAAGCTGTTCATGAACCACTCTACTCGGTGAAGCTGTTTATGAACCACTCTAACTGGGAAGCTGTTCATGAACCACTCTACTCGGTGAAGCTGTTCATGAACCACTCTACTCGGTGAAGCTGTTCATGAACCACTGTACCTCGGTGAAGCTGTTCATGAACCACTCTACTCGGTGAAGCTGTTTATGAACCACTCAACTCAGTGAAGCTGTCATGAACCACTCTACTCGGAGAACTGTCATGAACCACTCACATCGGTGAAGCTGTTCATGAACCACTCAACTCGGTGAAGCTTTTCATGAACCACTCTATACGAGGAAGAAGCTGTTCATGAACCACTCTACTCGGGGAAGCTGTTCATGAACCACTCAACTCGGTGAAGCTGTTCATGAACCACTCAACTCAGTGAAGCTGTTCATGAACCACTCTACTCGATGAAGGTGTTCATAAATCATTCTACTCGATGAAGCTGTTCATGAACCACTCAACTCGGTGAAGCTGTTCATGAACCACTCAACTCGGTGAAGCTGTTCATGAACCACTTCACTCGATGAAGCTGTTCATGAACCACTCTAGTCGGTGAAGCTGTTCACGAATCAACTCTACTTGGTGAAGCTGTTCATGAACCACTTCAATCGATGAAGCTGTTCATGAACCACTGTACTCGGTGAAGCTGTTTATGAACCACTCTACTCGGTGAAGCTGTTCATGAACCACTCTACTCGGTGAAGCTGTTCATGAACCACTGTACTCGGTGAAGCTGTTCATGAACCACTCTACTCGGTGAAGCTGTTTATGAACCACTCTACTCGGGGAAGCTGTTCATGAACCACTCTACTCGGTGAAGCTGTTCATGAACCACTCTACTCGGTGAAGCTGTTCATGAACCACTGTACTCGGTGAAGCTGTTCATGAACCATCTATACTCGGTGAAGCTGTTTATGAACCACTCTTCTCGGGGAAGCTGTTCATGAACCACTCTTCTCGGTGAAGCTGTTCATGAACCACTCTACTCGGGGAAGCTGTTTATGAACCACTCTACTCGGTGAAGCTGTTTATGAACCACTCTACTCGGTGAAGCTGTTCATGAACCACTCTACTCGGTGAAGCTGTTTATGAACCACTCTACTCGGTGAAGCTGTTTATGAACCACTCTACTCGGGGAAGCTGTTTATGAACCACTCTACTCGGTGAAGCTGTTTATGAACCACTCTACTCGGTGAAGCTGTTCATGAACCACTCTACTCGGGGAAGCTGTTCATGAACCTCTCTACTCGGTGAAGCTGTTCATGAACCACTCTACTCGGTGAAGCAGTTCATGAACCATTCTACTCGGTGAAGCTGTTCATGAACCACTCTACTCGGTGAAGCAGTTCATGAACCATTCTACTCGGTGAAGCTGTTTATGAACCACTCTACTCGGTGAAGCTGTTTATGAACCACTCTACTCGGTGGAAGCTTTTTATGAACCACTCTACTCGGGGAAGCTGTTTATGAACCACTCTTCTCGGGGAAGCTGTTTATGAACCACTCTACTCGGTGAAGCTGTTTATGAACCACTCTACTCGGTGAAGCTGTTTATGAACCACTCTACTCGGTGAAGCTGTTTATGAACCACTCTTCTCGGGGAAGCTGTTTATGAACCACTCTTCTCGGGGAAGCTGTTCATGAACCACTCTACTCGGTGAAGCTGTTTATGAACCACTCTACTCGGGGAAGCTGTTTATGAACCACTCTACTCGGTGAAGCTGTTTATGAACCACTCTTCTCGGGGAAGCTGTTTATGAACCACTCTTCTCGGGGAAGCTGTTCATGAACCACTCTACTCGGTGAAGCTGTTTATGAACCACTCTACTCGGTGAAGCTGTTTATGAACCACTCTTCTCGGGGAAGCTGTTTATGAACCACTCTTCTCGGGGAAGCTGTTCATGAACCACTCTACTCGGTGAAGCTGTTTATGAACCACTCTACTCGGGGAAGCTGTTTATGAACCACTCTTCTCGGGGAAGCTGTTTATGAACCACTCTACTCGGTGAAGCTGTTTATGAACCACTCTACTCGGTGAAGCTGTTTATGAACCACTCTACTCGGTGAAGCTGTTTTATGAACCACTCTACTCGGTGGAAGCTGTTATGAACCACTCTACTCGGTGAAGCTGTTTATGAACCACTCTACTCGGTGAAGCTGTTTATGAACCACTCTTCTCGGGGAAGCTGTTTATGAACCACTCTTCTCGGGGAAGCTGTTCATGAACCACTCTACTCGGTGAAGCTGTTTATGAACCACTCTACTCGGTGAAGCTGTTTATGAA